GAAGGTGAAGAGAGAGGGAGCGGGGCAGACAGACAGCCCGCTCATCCGTAACAGGAGTATTGCTCTGTTCATGGAATCATTCAACAGTAGTAGTACTTGGGAAGTGACTTTGGACGATGTCGTCGTCATCTTCGTCGTCGTCATCGTCAGAGTTTCTCTCTTCTGATCTTTGTACGACTCGAGAGAGAAAAGCCGTCGTGTCCGAGGGCTGGATAAGCGGGGAGGTTTCCAGACAAGGATGGGTACGAAAGGGAGGGAAGAAGAAGAAGAGAAGAAGGAAAAAGAGAAGAAGGGGGGAAAAAAGAAAAAAAAAGAAGAAGAAAAAAGAAGAAAAAAAAAAGAATCCCCCCTCCCCTCCCCTCTCCCCCCAAGATACAAAGGCCAGGGTCATGATACTCATGGTAACTTGCGACAAATAATCATGATGGGCAAGTTGGCACCCCGTTTCGTTTCATCGACAGGGGTGATTGGAGAGGGAGACGATTTGGGGTTGCGCAGTTTTGAAAGAGGACAAGGGATCAGGTAGAGAGAGGTCTCTTCTTCGTCTTCTTCTCTAGGGGTCTTCTTTTTTTTTTTAATTTAATATAGTTTTTTTTCTTCTCTCTTCTCTACTTCTGTTGCTACCCATGTATTACTAGCATCACCAGAATGTATGTCGTTGGAAAAAAAGAAAAGAAAAAAGAAGAAGAAAAAAAAAGGCTTGTTGTATAATCTGTACACGCGCAGTTCTGTATGCGGAGTGCGCGTATGTGTGAGTGGGGCCGCAGAAAAGGGGGGGGGGGGGGGGGGGGGGCGAGTTTCGAGGATGCGCGCGGTGCTCGTGTGCGTGTGTGGTGTGACGGGTTCGACCCTTTTTCGGGCAAACAGGCATGATCCATACTCATCTTAGGCTCCAAGACTCTTTCTTCTTCTTCTTTTCTTCTTGGACGAGGGAAAGCCCGGCTTTGGGGAGTTGACGTAGCTAGGGTGCATACGCATACGTCGTGCCACCGGACGATTCATGTCGTATTGCGTGGGGAGGGGAGAGAGAGAGATGGGAGAGGGGGGGTTCAAGGGTTCAAGTTTTACATGCAAGCCCCATGAATAGCATGCTGTAAGTGCAACAACCTACAGGCAATATCCCGTACACGTCGACAGTGACGGCATCTCGACTGTGACGAGAGAGACGGAGCCGAGACGAGGAAGGGGGGCCGATGAGAGGGTGAGAGAGAGAGTGAGGAAGAAAAAGAGAGAGGGTGAGAGAGAGGGAGGGAGGGGGGAGACCGTGTGCTGTTCCTGTTCCTCCATTCGCTCCGCCGACGGTCCCGCTCAGCCCCGCCGGGGCCCGCTCTACCGATTTCCCGGTATCGCGGAGGGGAGTGGTATCGTAGCCTCCCTGTAGGACAGCCCGGATAAGGGGTGACTGGCAAGACTGACAGCGGATGCGCCAGAGCGAGCTTGGGGGGTCGTCATGTTGGACGGGGAGGGAGAGCGGGAGAGGGGGGGGTATCCGACACATTCATGCTGCACCGTGCAGTCTCGCCGCCAGTGCCATGGCATCTAGGTGAAATCAATCAATCAGCAAGCAGCAGCAGCAGCAGCAGTTGTAATCGGCAGCGGTAGCTGTAGTAGTACATTAGTTGTAGCTGTGTAGCTGTAGTGGTAGTTGTAATAAGTAGCGATGGTGGTAACGGTAGCCGTAGCAGCAGTAACCGTAGCTGTGATAGTTGTCGTCGTCGTCGTCGTTGTCGTTGTAATGGGTAGTCGTGGTTGTCCAACCTTGTGACTGCGACAGGTATACACGTCATATGCATAATAGCCATTACTATATGCACTACTCATCACCAGTATTACCAACCCACCACCGGCCCGTCAGATCACCCATCATCTCAGAGAGAGAGAGAGATGAAAAAAAGGTCTGACGGGGAGAGGCAGCAGCAGCAAGCCGAGGATTCCCCCAAGCTCCTCCCGACACGCGCACACGCACACGCACACGCACACGCGCACGCGCACACGTACGCAAGAGGCGGCCAACGCCATCTTCCCAGGGTTGGTCCTCCCCCTGCCTAGGTGTAGCGAGAGAGCGCGACCGAGTACGAGTATCGGTGGTGAGGACCGACAGACCTGCCAAGGGGGAGGGTATCCGGTGATGGTATTGGTAGATGGTAATACCATGTAATGCTCCGTAGGTAAGGTGGCACGTACGTACCTGTGGGGGAATCGTATGCAGAGTATGAGACGATCCAATACCGGTCCACGATACGAGACTTACCAGGTACCTGTACGGGCAAGGTGTCACGGTGTTGCTGCCCCGGCAGACTCCATGATAATCATGATCCATGATGATGATGACGATGAAATACTCGGGGGGGGGGGGGACTCTTGTGTTTCGGTATTACATGACGGTCCCTCCCCGGTACTGGCACCATGCAGCAGAGCATGCATACGACCCTGTACTCACCTACGGCCCTTCTCTGCACCTGGACACCTGGACGCACATGCCGCCCGAGGACTACGACGCGAGAACCCTGTTCGTCCTGCTGCAGCCTGTCAGTTGTCTCCGTGCGACGTGAAACGGCTAGCGGCCGCTGGGAGCGAGTCATGACCCTCCCCTGGTCCCGCTCATCCTCAACCATTACTCGACTAGGAAATCTACATGTCCCGAACTCAACCCCGGTGTGGAAGAGATGGGCAGCGGCAACCGGTACGAGTGCAGGTTACACTCTACAGCAGACAGCAGCAGCAGCAGCAGCAGCTATGGAGTGATGATACTACTTGCTACTATCATCATCATCACTATCGCTACCACTGACCTACCACTTACTGCAAAGTGCAACTGCATGTACTCGTTATAGTGCGATACTTGCTACGGCCCATGTGAGCAGGATATCATATGTGAAATGTACAGTGTGTAATGATGCAATTTCCCCCTCCCTTGGTCGTACGACCTATCTCCTCGCTCAATCAATCAATCAATCAATCCCTTGACCTTGGCGACGATGGGGAAAAAAGAGAAAAAGAAAAAAAGCCTCCTCTGGTGAGTCATCAGCCCCTCCTCCTCCTCCTCCTTCCCCCCCCTCCCCCTGGAAACCACTGTCAGTTTCAGATTGTTTTCATTTATTTTTGGCGCCCCCACCGTGCCCTTTGACATGTGATGATGGTACGAGGTAACAGGGTCCATCTCTCTTGCCGTTTTTTCGTCTTCATCTATTTGATTATTTGATTATTATTGTTATTATTATTTTTTCGGTCATCATCATCATCACGATGTACTACAAATGACATTCGGAGAAGGAGGGTAGATGTAATAATACTAATACTAATACTAATAATGATAATAATAATAACATCGTGCACCGATTCGATGCCAGCTGTCGTCATTGCGAGAATATATATATATGCGTCCTCCTTCGCGACTCTCGACACCCTGTGAATGAGCTACCATGTACTGATCAATGCTGCTACCGTCAAGTCGGTGCCCGTCTCCGTCTGCTCCAAAACATCATCCCACCTCCATCTTATCAGGCCACGCGCGCACAGTACATCGTTTAGATCGCACAAGTCCCGAGTAGCGTGTCTACGACCAGCTCCGAACCGGTCAGACCGGTCAGTGCTAGGCTCATCCTTCAGCCCTGTACAGTTGCGGAGCTCCATACTGAACCAGGTTCCAGAACCTATGATACCTCCCCCCCCCCCCCCCCCCCCCCCCCCCCGGTTTCGAACACCTTGCGTGGTTCAACTTGACATGTGGGTTTTACCCTCCTTGCCGGAAACCGTCCCGCTTTTTTTCTTTTTCTGTCCCTTCGTCTTTCTTCTCTTTAATCTGCTTTAGAATACAGATTAGAATTTTTTAAAATAAAATAAAATGAATGCTTCTTTTCCTTGTCTGCTGGGTTCCATCTTAGCTTTGCCATCCCCCCCTCCATGACATCTGTCTAGACAGTCTAGGCCAGACCTGGCCAGGGGAGTCGCCACGGAACTACGGAGTGGCTGTACTGTCTATTATTACCATGTACAGAGGTGCAGAGTACTTATACATGTATGGAGGCAAGTCTCATCTGTAGACGAGCGTCGGTGTCGGGACAAGCTGTCTACGGCATACGACAGTACGTGAATAGGTATCAGGTCAACTTTGAAAGTCTCTCTCAACACACGCATCGTATCGGCACGCTAGACTAGGGTGCTGGAGGGCTTCCTTCTCCGCCGCGACTGTGACGAGTACGAGTACATGCTCGTCACTCGCAGAACCATGCCATACGGACGACAGCCAGCTACCACCTATAAAGCTATAATCGTAATAATCATGATAGCCTATGAGAGAATAACTGACTGTCCTCGTACTCGTACGCTCTATTCCCGGACATGTACCGATTGGGGGGGGGGGGCGTACGAGTAGTACGATTCACGGCTTGGCCTCGTGCGTCTCTGGGTCATCATGGACAGATGGGGCTTCACACATGCACACACGTATGATGGTTCATACTCGTAGGTCCGTCCACGGCGCTTCCATCAGATGCTGATACCGATGCAACCTCGCAGGCTTCCTGAACTCGTGCTTCGATCATCCTATCATGCGCTCCTTGTCTAGTCTTCCCATCAAGACACATCCTGGTGGCAATCCCATCAGATATTATCCGCTGGCCCGAGCAACGCTTTCCGGTCAATCTGCAGAATAATGATACACCGTTCGACCTAGTAAAGGATATAACGAGGTCCAAGCCCCCAGGCCCTTGCGGCCTCTCGATCCCATGCATACCAGAGCAGAGCGATAGCAGCCCCCGACAATCCGCACGCACTCAGCAACCGACAGTCCCGATCTGATCGTACCCCGCCTCGCACCCGACAGACACCACTCCCGTGACCAGCTCCACCGTCCCGTCCGTTCACTGTTTTGCTAGGGATTCAGAATCTTTCCTCCCTCACCGCTGGATCCCTCGTCCGGACGAGGAGCCGACGGGGTCATCAAGAGGTCCTTTGGCGGCGCCTCCTTCATTTCCGCATCTTCGCCACCTTCTACGCTCTTCCTTCTCTCCTGCTCCTCGAAGCTGAATGCGTCCGACAGGTTGACCGCGAGGAACGTCTTTGGGAGTTTGACCCTGGTGCGGATGTTAGTACGGAGAGACGAGTCCCAAGACATGTCCATGTCCAGTCAGCGGATGGGCAGCTAGCTCACTGGGTAAACTTGGCTCGAAGAGTCTTGATGACCTCGAGCCAGTCGCCGTGCGGCGTCAGGCTTCGTCTCTGGGCACACCCTATGGCATGTCGACTATCGAGCTGGACGTGTAGCGGGTCAAAGACGTGGCATCCCGGGCTGATGGCGATCCGGATGCTGTAGGCGTGCTTGGGCTCGTCGTCCGGTCCGGCCGCCGGCTGCTTCACCTCCGACTCGTACAGCTCAAAGCAGATCTGCGACAGGTAGTCCAGCTCGGGAATCGTGCTTCGCTTGATCTTGGTCTCGACGCCACCCTCGATGATGCAGTTGAGCAGCGTGTAGATGTGCGACTCCTTGGTGAAGTAGAAGAACGACTTGGCATCATTGGACGCCTGCATCTCCTCGAGGTCCTGCACGATCTCCTTGAGGAGCGGGAGCGACGTCAACAGCCCAATCTCAAGCTTCTCGCTGTCCGAGATGCCGTACTCCTGGGGGCAGATGAAGTCGAACAGAACCTTGGCCAGCTTGTACAGCTCCTCGAGCGGCTCATGGTTCGGGTCCGGCTTGGCCCCGGACGTCTCGGCGCCCTTGTACAGCCTAAAGTACTGTTCCGAAACTGCCTCGCCGTCCAGGTTCCGCAGGCCGCTTCGGAACGACCTCCTCCTGAAGAGCTTCTTGACAGTACCCGACCTCCCGAGCTGTGCCGGCTCGCCCTTCTCCGGCTCTTCATGCTGATGGGAGTGGTGGTGGTGATGGTGGTGGTGGGCCGGCGAGCCTTGGCTGTGCCTGCCATCGTCGGTCGCCGCCTTTCCGTCCTCCGAATTGCCGCGCCTGCTCTCTTTGCCGCTGTACTCCTCCATCATGTGCTTTGGTGGCGTAAAGACCCATTCGAGAAACTGGCGATTGTGCAGTGCATCAAACTTCATCGTGTCGTAGAGCTCGGATATCTTGCTCGGGTCCACCTTGTCGCCGTCGCAGAACTCGGTAAAGAGCTTCTCCCATCGCTCCCTGAAGAGCTCGGCATCCTCGCCCGAGCACCAGCGCGGCTGGATGTTGTTCACGGCGTTGGCCGCGGACAGGGATCCCGGGGAGACGGACCCGTCCCCGCCCGACAATCTGTCCGAGCTTGCGTTGCTGAGGTTGCTCAGCGACGACGCAGCACCGCTGTACAGCTTCCCGTAGTTGTGGTGCATGGCGTGTCTGAGAAAGTTCATGAGCTGCACGACGCGCGTCTGAACCTCGGAGGGCTCGGGCATATTGGCCGGCCAGGCGAACTGCTCGGGACGCTCATTCCCCTCTCGCAGAAGCCCCTTGAGCTTCTTCTTGACCTTGTCCGTCTCATCCTTCGCCGCGTTCGAGTCGTCCAAGAGGTCCTTGCGGATGGTGATGAAGTCCTCGGGGAGGTCCTTCTTCCCCAGGAACGACGCTGCCCAGAGCTGAGCACTCGTCGTTACCCGCCTCTCGGAGCTGCTGAAGACGTGTACCTCGTCGAGTATGTCCCTGTTCAGCAGGGCTAGGTCGGTCCTCATGCTCTCGCCGAGCTCCTGCGACTGGTACCGTGCCGAGTGCGTCGGCTCGCCTCCCCACTTGACGATCAGCTGCAGCTTATCCAGGATGAGCTGCTCCTCAGCCGCCGTAAATTTGGACATGGTAACTCCGGAGAGGGAGTCCTGTCTCTTCGGCGTCGTCTTAGGCAGGCCCTCAAAAAGCCTGCTGATCTGGCCCAACTGCCCGGGTGTAGGGCTCTGGACGTCCTCCTTGAGATCCGGCATTTCCTCGGTAGCCATCACTTCCGTCTTCTTTCTTCGGAACATGGGCTTGATCTGAACCTTGGTCCCGGGCCAGCTGCCCTTCTTCACGAGGACGTTGCGGAGAGCTTGGAGCTTGCCCATGTCCTCGACTCCCTGTAGATAGGCAGCATCGACGGCCTGGATGACACTAGCGAGGGCGGCCTCTCCGATGAGGAGAACTTCTTCCTGGTGGCCTTTGAGCAGAGCAATGAAGGGCTCGGTGTGGAAAGTAAACTTGAACTTCTGTTTGGGAGTTCGGTCGGCGTGTCGGATGACCGACACCATGCCCTTGAGCTTCCACGAATGTTTGGGCAGAGGGGGCTGCTGCTGCTCCTCCTTGTCGCCCGACTGGGAACCAGGTGTTGCACCTGGGGTCCCACTTATCGAGGGCATCGCCGATGACGGACCGGAGATGGCGCTGGGAAGCATCAGATCCGGAGGGGGAGGGGGAAGCTGCTGGGAAGGGGCCGGTGCACTGCACGGCACGCCGCCATGGGCCATGGACTCCATCTTGGGGGACGTGTTGCTGCTTGTCATGATAGAAGATGTTTCTACGCTCCCTGATTCCGATATATGCATGGCCGTCTGCGACGACGACTTGGGAATCGGGTGTGCAGACCCAGACGAGGAATCCCGGTCCCTGGCGTGGTAAGATGCCCTTCCGAACGGATCCGACTCAGACGCCGACATGGCAGGGGATGGCGCAGAGGGCTGGACGCCCCCGCGACGAAGTCTCTCCTTAACGAAGAGGTCCTTGAGGATTTTGGCGCAGTGATCGTAGTAGTCATTATTATCCTTGACGAAACTCCAGCCATTGACATCAATGACGTAGCTCTTTCCACCTGCCCGCAAGAGATCAAACCCACAGACGCGCTGACCGAAGGATGTCGAGATTTTGCTGGCCGTCTCTCTCTCCTCGGGGGTCAGAGGCGTGACATATCGTAACTCTTTTCCGTGCTGATTCCTCCTGACGACACCGTCGACAACGGGGGACTTGCGTGTCTCGGCGTGGCAGTATGTCGGCCCGACAGTGTAGGCCTTGATGTCCTCGGCATTGTCCACTTGCATAAAGCTTTCGTATATGTAGCTACTACCGGGCTCGGTAATGGCCCTTGGGACGGTAAGGTCTGGAACATAGTCGGAGCTCTTGTTACCAATCTTCCTGAACAGCTTCCGAGCCCCGCCGCCGGCAGACCTGGGAAAGTAGATGATGATGTTGTGGTCTTCGCCGCTGGTAGGTTTCTCGACAAAGGGCTTCTTCAGAAGAGCGCCATCCACGTTCAGGGTGTCACCGTCGTCAAGCAGCTCAACTACTTGAGGCGGTTTATGGGTATCAGGGTCGTATGGTTCCATTTCCACGCCGGATACTTCCCGGACGTGCTGGACCATTTCTGGAGTCATGAGAGAAGGGCCACCATCGCGGGTCACCTCGAGGCGCTTGGGGGTCCGGACATTGGTCTTGTCGAGGAGTTGTAGGCAAAGTCGTCTATCCCACAGGAGCTGCTGGAGCGGGATGTCGTTGACACAGAAGGGTCGCCGAGCCTTGACGTAGGCAATCGCCTTATCCAATGGAAAACCATCAGAGTAGAATGATATGAGATAGTCACTAGATACCAGTTAGTCAAGGATTTTTTTGGGGGGGGTTTTTTTCCCTTTTTCTCGGTCCACTCCTTTTAAAGGAGCTCTTCTTGTGCCTACCATACTGGCCAATTTTCCACCTCTGTAATCACGATATCAGCAATGAGTCCCCGTCAAGCTTTTCTAGGTCTTGGGGCGGTGAATGTAATGTTCTTTTACCTTCGTCCAGGATAACTTTGTCGCCAAAGACGACAACATCGAATTCGCGGTTAGCGATAACCCGATTGAGGATATTCCTACTGGGCTTACTCCGCGCCTTGACATCAAGGGCACAGATTCCAATGACACCCCAGGGAGCAGGTTTTGCTATCAAGAATAAGTAGTCAGCATAGCGTACACAGATTTCTATCGAAGAGTGGGTGTCGACTAACCTTCTTCACGATGACCGTGGCCCCGATCACTACCCGGACTGTGGCTGCTGTTTCCCGTGCTCCCGCTGAAGCGACGCTTAGCCCTGCTGCGGGAACGGTCGGGCTGCTGGGCCCGAGTGCTAGGTGCGGTGTTCACAGCAGTTTCGGATCGCTGGTTCCGCCTCATAAGATCGAGTGGTTGGGCGTGGGGATCCCTGGATGCGAGCGCATGACTCCCGGTAACGGTCTGCTGCTGGCCGCCCTGAGGGCCAGGAGATGTGGTGACGCCGGCATTACTTACGCCGGCTTCGGGCGGAGTTGATGCTGGGCTCTTTCCAGAAGACATGAGGACAGAGGCTGGTCGGTTTCGAAAACCTGGGTCTGAGGTCGGTGCGGGACCTGGGGACGGAGGAAGGATGCCGCGGACAGAAGCCGGGGAGAAAACGGACGAGGTGGCTGACAGTCGTCGGACCTGGTAGTCGGACAAGGAAGACGCTGCAGAGGCTCGACGGGCCTTGATATCTGACAGAGACGGCGGTGAGGCCAGAGCTGGCTCGGGCAGTGTCGAGTAGCAGTATGAGTTGAACTCGGCGGCAGAGGAACCAAGCAAGAAATCGTCGTCCAGTGCAGTTTCCGACGCTGCCGAGTAGCGGTGGGAACTTTCGTTCAGCGATAACGGCCTATTCTTGACTGAACCAGGCGAGGAGGGTACATGGGTCGTAAAGGAAGTTAAATCGGCGTGGATGTCGGAGTTGCCAGGCTCAGCATAACGACTCTTTCTTTTAGAAGATGAGACAGTACGAGAAATTGAGCTGAAAGAAGACCAAGATGGGGAACTAGGAGGATGGAGTGCGGGGTCGTCTTTGCGATTGTGAGGAAGGTCGTCGTGGTAGTGGTGGTGGTGATGATGATGATGATGATGATGATGATGATGCTGTGACGCCGCTGCTGTTGCCGCCGCTTGCCGAGAAGAGGACAAAGGGATTCTGACGCTTTGATTGTGTATCGAGGAATGCGAGTCGGTGGCGTCGGGGGCGGTGGCGGAGGCGGATTTGGTTATGGCCGGGGAAGAGGTCGGTGACGATGATGGGCAATGTTGGGCAGGCGGAGAGGTAGAATAGGAAGGGAAGGCGCCAGTATTCAGGTCCATGACGATTACCGAAATCTTGGGACCAGCCCTCTGCAATCTGCCCTCTCAATCTGCGACCGCCGACCAGCCAGTCCTCCACTCTGGGTACTCTCGTACTCTCGTACTCTCAATCCCGAGCTACTATCAAAGCCCTATAGCGTGATGGGGAAAGATGCCATAAGAGGTGGTCTCGACGGAACTGGTAATAATGGTGGCAAAACTACTAGCCTGTCGGTTGGTGCCGGTCCACTAATCTACCCACTTGTCCATTGCCCAACTACTAAGGATAGCAGCCGATTTGCCCTGTAATGTAAATGCAACCCTAGTCAGGTCAGAGGTGGCTTGCGATAATATCATCGAGTGTATGGAAGGCAATAGAAAAGTGAGAGATGATGGGTTGCGATGATGTTGCTGCAGGACGAGTTGGGGACCATGTCATCTTTGTCTGTCTACCGACTTTTCCATGTGTGCGGCGGTCCGTGGTCTCCGTCTACGTATTAAATACCGGTTCTGCCCCTCATCACCGCTTGCAGGTTCAGCTCGTATCAGCCCGACACACTCTGTCTCTCTCCCTCCCTTTCTGCCCTTCCAACAATGCTCAACTACTGGGGAAACCAAGACAACTGTGCCCTAGAAGTAACGAGCACGCGACCATTAACGCATTCGAGTAACTGGGGACGTCTTCTCATGCAGGCACTCCTTCTTCTCGACGAATCGCTGGGCCCTCATCACCAACCCCTCTTATGGATAGAACCCCTCCAACCAACCCTCCAACCAAGTGCCAAGCGGTGAGACCGGACAAGCGCTTGGCCTGCATCCAGGCTGTACATGTATACGACGTAAAGCCAGAAGCGCATCTTGTATGTGACTTTATTGATAATATCCCCCCATGTATGATAGAATTCTCTCCGTGGCCGAGTACGTCTACTTGCAGCGTTTTCCACGATCTTGATGAATATGGCCATGGAGGGGCTCATTGCTATTGCCCCTCCTCCTATATGATAGTATGATAGTAGAGCACTAGCCACAAGTCCCACAAGACGTCTGTCAACGCCATAGCCATCTTCCCGAGCTGGTCGGAGTCTCGGAAAACACTCGGTTAGTTCGATTACTGACCCTGCATCAGAATAATAAGAGTTCAGATGAAGGAAAGCGCATCGTTGACGTGGGACTTTATTCTTTGCTATGCAAAAACGTTACTTGAGGCCACCGGCGCCTCACCCCGAACCGTGCTGTGGGGTTTCGACTGTGGCGTTAGCCGAGTTGAGCCACGCCGCCTGGCAGAAAAAAAATGCCATCACCGCCAAATTTTCTCTAGAAGCCTTAGGATCCAGACGACGGTTATATACAGCACCGATATATGCAGCATCGACCTCGGACCGCCACGAGCCCTGCGACTAGCTGCTGCCTGGAGACAAGATGCCTCACTCCAGCGCCGACTCTGGTCATCTGACCAAGCGCCAAAAGGTCGCATCCGTGACCAAGGCGACCGAGGCGGCCGGTCCCTATGTTTCCAGAATCTTTGCACCATACAGAGTATGTCGTCGCAACTCGCCTCGAGAAGCCCTGCGCACAACTGACCGCCGTTACAACAGACTGTCGGGCTCGTCTCTCCAACTAGTGTCCCTTTTACCTCGGTGCCCCTGGGCAAGACCTCCTTTCAGATATCCACCTCGGTTGGCCGATCCGTCCAGACGTACGACCTGAGCCGCGGTCTCAACCTCGTCTTCGTGAGCAAGCCGCAAACCCCGCACGACATCACCGCCACGCTTGCATGGAGGCAGAAGGTATTCGTGGCCTGGGGCGGCGCGGAGGAGGGAAGCACCCAGGGTATCTGGATTCTGCAACGCGGAGACAAAACCGGCGAGCTGCAGCTGCCGGGGGACATTTCCCAGCCCATCAAACAGATCCTGATGCTGGGTACGTGGCTCGTCGCCTGTGCGCAGAACAGGATCGAGGTCTTCAAGTCGGTTACTCTAGAGCACTACACTACCATCTACACCATGGCTTCCACGACCAAGGGCGGCAATGAGATCACCGGCGCCACCAGCATGCCCACGTTCCTTAACAAGATCTTTGTTGGTCGCAAGGACGGCTGGGTTGAGATCTGGAACCTCAGTACCGGAAAGCTCATATACACCATCCTGCCTCCATCGCCCGACTGTGGCGGTGTGACCTGCCTTGAGCCCAGCCCCGCGCTGTCCCTCATGGCTATTGCCTATGCCAGTGGCACCCTCGTCATCACCAACGTCCTGACCGATAAGCCCATCCTCAAGTTCGAGGCCGGTAGCCCCGAGAGGCCCATTCACCATATCTCTTTCCGAACCGACGGCATGGGCGCTGGTCAGGATGGCAGGAAAGAAGGTGTCATGGCCACGGCCGGCCCCTCGTCAGGCGACGTCACCTTCTGGGATCTCAATGGCGGAGGGCGTGTCATGGGTGTTCTGCACGGCGCCCACAACCCGCCCTCATCCAATGGCTCTAGCATTGTACGGGGCGGTCTGAGCAAGATTGAGTTCCTCGATGGCCAGCCCGTCATTGTCACCAGCGGTCGCGATAACTCCCTCAAGACTTGGATCTTTGACGAGTCTCCATTCTCCCCCGTCCCGCGAATCCTGCACTCGAGGAGCGGCCACGCCGGACCAGTCAACTGCCTTGAATTCCTGCCCACCGACTTTGAGGGCGCCGAGGCAGGTAACAAGTGGCTCCTCAGCGGTGGTCAGGACCGCAGCCTGTGGGGATGGAGTTTGAGGAGGGACGGCCAGAGCGCCGAGATCAGCCAGGGCAACATCCGCAAGAAGGCCAAGAAGGTCGGCATCCTCGCCAATAACGCCCTTGCCCACGGCCCCTCGACTACTCTCGAGGACCTCAAGGCGCCCGAAATTACCTGCATTGCCTCGTCGTTAAACCGCGATGGAGGTATGGGCGCCATGCCTGGAAACCAGCCCATCTGGCAGAAGGGACAGCCGCAGAAGAAGAACCAAGACGCCGAGACAAGCGGCATGACTGGTTGGGAGAGCATCGTGACGGCACACAAGGACGACCCGTACGCCAGGACGTGGTTCTGGGGCCGCAAGCGCGCCGGCCGATGGGCCCTCCCAACCAGCGACGGGACCAATGTGTCCACCGTCACCATCAGCCCGTGCGGCACTTTTGCCGTTGTGGGGTCCGAGGGCGGTGCCATAAACATGTACAACCTGCAGTCGGGCATGCACCGCCAGCAGTACCCGTCGAAGCTGACGCCCGCGCAGGCGCGCCAGGTGCGGATGCAGCAGCTGCGGCAAGCTGACGAGGTGACGCAGTTCCACAGCGAGGGCGGCAAGTTCCCCGCCGGCACGGGGAGGCACACCAAGGCTGTGACTGGCCTGGTTGTCGACTCATTGAACAAGACGGTCATCTCGTGCTCGCTCGACGGCAAGATCAAGTTCTGGGACTTCCTGACAGGCAGGCTGGTGGAGCAGCTCGACTGGGCGCCCATGACGAGCCCGACTGCCTGCCGGTACCACGAGAGCAGCAACCTAGTGGCCTTCTCCTGCGACGACATGTCGATCCGGGTGGTGGACCTTGAGACGAAGCGGACGATCCGTGAGTTCTGGGGTCCCAAGGACGTCATCAACGACTTTTGCTTCTCGTATGACGGCCGGTGGATCATTGCCGCCTCGCAGGACGGCACCATCCGCGTCTGGGACCTGCCGACCAGCCATCTCATCGACGCCATCCGTCTCGAGAAGCCGTGCAGGGCCCTTGCCATGTCCACTTCGGGCGAGTACCTTGCCGCTACCATCCAGGACGAGCCGGGCGTCGCCATGTGGACCAACAAGTCACTCTTCAAGCACGTCGCCACCAAGCGCATCACCGAAGGCGACATTGCCAAGGTGGCCGCGCCTACGGTGTCGGGCGAGGGCAACAGCGCTATGCTAGAGGGCGCCTTCGAGGACGACGAGGTGGATGACGAGGATGCCTTCGTGGCCCCTACTATTGACCAGCTCAGCTCCGACATGACGACGCTCAGTCTGGTCCCCAAGGCTAGGTGGCAGACCCTCCTGCACCTCGACCTAATAAAGGAACGCAACAAGCCTAGAGAAGCCCCCAAGGCACCTGAGAAGGCACCGTTCTTCCTCCCCTCGACGACGGGGGCACCGTCATCCACCACGCAGGATGCCACGACCAAGGACGAGACGGCAGATGACCTAGGCAAGTCGCGCATCACGAAGATGGACAAGGCGAGGGCCGAAGAGATGTTTGGCTCCAAGCTGCGAACATGCTCCCAGACGGGCAACTGTAAGTTTCTACCCCTCTCTCAGGCACACACGCACGCAAAGAATACCAAGAAAAGTATTGACCCCGCTGTCCGCAGACGACATCTTCATCGAGCACCTTAAATCCCTCTCGCCGGCAAGCGCAGACCTCGAACTACGATACCTGTCGGCAGGCAACGGCGCTGACGAGGAAACATCCAACGAGATCCTACACTTCATCCGGGCCCTCACACAGCGACTGCAGTCGAGGCGGGACTACGAGCTCATGCAGGTGTGGATGACGGTGCTGTTGAGGCTGCACTCGGACGTCATCATAGCAAGCGAGACGCTTCTGAAGGCGCTGGGGGAGTGGAAGGCGTACCAGGAGAAGGAGTGTGCTAGGTTGGATGGGCTGGTTGGGTACTGCAGTGGTGTGGTGAACTTCTTGAGGAGTCCGAGGGCGTAGGTATTGCATTGTTGGTATTATATATCGTTACTTCGCCTCGCTTTTTTTTATCATAATGGCGCTACACTATCATTGACTTGTCCACTCCTACACCGATGGAATATATCGGAGTCAAAGAGCCTGGGTGTACCAGCTAGACAGTAAATGCACGGCCATGTTGGCCCATTCACACAACCTCGCGTACCCAGCATTCGGGAATGCACCATGTATGTTTGAGCTTCATTCGCTTCTGCTCTTACTCTCGTAAGGAAAGGTCTTCCTCATAGCCCTGCATAAAGCAAGAGGTATAACGAAAACAGAGAAAAGGGTGTGAAATCAAAAATTCCGCCCCCCACGGCCCCGAAGGGCAATGGAGCAAGGACGACACCGCGATGTGCAATGCAGGCCATCCTGGCTGAATACCCAGAATCTTGAGCTTGGGTATTCGGGACAAGGTAAGTATGAAGAAGAAAGGAAGAAAATCAATCAAAGACCGGCGAGGGGGACGGTAATTTATAGGTATCGTTTGGTGGTCTGTGCGCTGTTCCTGTGCAATTTGCCGGGCGGTGAGGCTGAAATTGATGGCCTTGTCGCCTTGCTTGCTTTGCTTGCCTTGCCGCCTTGGATGTTAGGCAACCCACGTCATTGCCTGCCTGAGGTCTGTCTACTCGTACAGTGTCTGGATATGGATATGCACACGACTGATTATCACTCGTGTAGGGTGTTGGTGGTATAATCAGTTTTCCCATGGAGAATCCATACATCACTGAGGAATGGCACCGTTACTTGACTTACCATGAGCAGCAAACCTAGCTCAATCTAACAGGTAGAGAAAAAGGCAAGAAACGGAAATAGTCGCATGGCCCAAATTCATGCTCGTTCGTACTATTGAGGATCGAAGCGATGCTCCGCGATACAGCGCCTTCGCACGCGCATTGAGTACGGTTACCCTGTAGCTGACATCTTGTGGCATACATATTGCATGACTAAGCAGCTCCCAGCACTCAACTATAGATAGCTTCATAGATAGATTTATCTTCCTTTGAATAAGAAAGAAAGTAGACACACATATAGGCCGAGGACGTATACGTAGGCAAAGACTATTGTATCTTCATCTTGTGTTGTCGCCCACTTGAAGCACAGTTTGGGAAAAGTCGGCCGTTCATAAAGGCTCTATGCGCAGTGAGATGTTATGTGGGGTATTTGTATTTTCTTTGGGGGGGAATTTTTTTTAAAAAAAAACCATTCCTCAAGATAATATAGATGTATTCAATCCTCGCTGATTTTGGCGTCCCATTCAGCTGTTCTACTGCTAGAGGCACTCGTACTTTTTAGTCTCATGTAGCGAGGCTGATCTATAGATGCATTAGTGTACCCGCGGGGTGAGCTGATAGCGGGGCACGCCGAGTCCAATCGCTCCTTCAACTTTTTTTTTTTTTTTAACTCCATCGTTCTTGGCTCGTCTGCGACCAAGGAAGAGGGAACAAGGTCAAACCCACAATCATACCCCAGAGATCAAGAAAATGGGCAAGAAGTTTAGGGTATGTCGCTTTTATTTGCCAAATCTTGACCAGCGGCCCATTGACGACTGACGAAAATTGTTGCGTAGGGCAACAAGAACCGTCGCGGAGGCGGCGGCGGCGGCGGCCGTGGAGGAGGAACTCGAAGCGACTGGAGGGAGTACCCTACCCCGGTCAAAGAGAACGTCAATCTCCAACGATACTACGATGGCCTACTCGCTCTTCCGGAGGAGGAGAAGACACAGTACTGGGATGCTCTCAAGCGTGAGCTGCCCAACAGCTTTCGATTCTGCGGTTCCAAAGGGTACGTGCTCTTTTTCTTGTCCAGTCGCAAGCAAAAGAAAGAACGAGTGGTTGAGGTTAACGTTTTGCGGGAAATAGACACGCTCTGGCTGTTAAGCGCCTTCTTCAGACAAGGTACATCCCCGAGATCGTCAATATCGAACACCAGGATGGTCGGCCGGTTGAGCCTCCCAAGCCGGTGCCCTGGTACCCGGACGAGCTGGCTTGGTGGATGACGACGCCCAAGAACGTGATCCGCAAGTTTCCTCCGTTTGCCGCCTTCCAAAAGTTCCTCGTTTCGGAGACGAGCGTGGGCAACATTAGCCGACAGGAGGTGGTGAGCATGATTCCTCCTCTGCTGATGGACGTTCGACCCGGCCATGTCGTGCTGGATATGTGCGCCGCTCCCGGAAGCAAGGCGGCGCAGCTCCTGGAGATGATTCATCAGGGCGAGGAGGCTCGCGTCAAAAAGTGTCTCCGATCCTTCGCCGAGGAGGATGGCCTGGTCGTAGGCAAGGAGACAGAGGAAGAGGCCGAGGTTGACCTCGAGGCCGACGCAACCGATGCCGGCCGCGCTACCGGCCTGCTCGTGGCCAACGACTCCGACTATAAGCGCGGACACATGCTTGTCCACCAGTTGAAGCGCCTCTCGTCGCCCAACCTGATGGTCACAAACCATGACGCCACGCAGTTCCCGTCAATCAAGCTACCCAACCGCGAGAACCCCAAGAAGCACCTGTACCTCAAGTTTGACCGCATCCTTGCCGACGTACCCTGCTCCGGTGACGGCACCTTGCGCAAGAATGCCAACCTGTGGAAGGATTGGGTCCCTGGCAGCGCCCTGGGCTTACACCTGACGCAGATCCGCATCCTCGTCCGCGCCCTGCAGCTACTCAAGGTCGGCGGCAAGGTCGTCTACTCGACCTGCAGCATGAACCCCGTCGAGAATGAGGCGGTCGTCGCCGCCGCCATCGCCCGTTGCGGCGGCCTGCGGAACGTCGAGATCGCCGATTCTTCCGACAAGCTGCCCCAGCTCAAGCGCGTCCCCGGCATGAAGTCCTGGAGCATCATGGACAAAGCCGGCAGGATATGGAACTCTTGGGAGGAGGTCGACGCTTTCGCCAAGAAGAATGATGGAGTCATCCCTGGACGTGTCGTCCAGTCCATGTTTCCCGCCGTCGGCGACGACGCAGAGGCATTGCCCCTCGACCGCTGCATGAGGGTGTACCCTCACCTCCAGGACACCGGTGGCTTCTTCATCACCGTCCTCGAGAAGAAGGCCGAATTCAAGGCTAGGAATGAAAACGACTCCAAGCTCGAGGCCAAGCCCGAGGCCAAGCCCACAGCGGCTGCTACCGAGGACAAGCCCGCTGAGGTCGCCACCGAGGAGGCGAAGGAGGAGGAGAGGGACGTTACCATGGATACAGACGAGACTACTTCCAACGGCAACAAGAGAACCCTGGAAGAGGCGGATGAGAGTGGCGAGCAGCAGCCCGCGGCCAAGAAGACCAAGACCGACGGCGACGAGGCTACCACCGCCAAGGCAACAGAAACAGAGGATGCCCCCGCCCCCGTAGAGGCTGCCTCCGCTCCCGCCGCCGAGGCCAAGGCTTCGCGCCGCAACGGGCCCCAGGAGGAGCCCTTCATCTACTTGGATGCATCGCACCCGGTGATCCAGAATATCAAGGAGTTCTACAAGATCTCGCCTCGGTTCCCCGACGACCGGTACATGGTGCGCAACGCGATGGGTGAGCCGGCCAAGGCCATCTACTACACGACGGCGCTGATGCGCGACATCTTCACCGAGAACGAGGGCCGCGGCATCAAGTTCGTCCACGGTGGCGTGCGCATGTACATGAAGCAGGACGCCCCGAGCGCCGACGTGTGCCGGTGGCGCGTCCAATCCGAGGGCATCCCCATTCTCCAGGGCTACGTGGGCGAGTCACGCCTCGTCCACCTGACCAGCAAGGAGACCTTCCGCCGCTTGCTCATCGAGATGTTCCCCCGCATCGCCGACGGCGCCTGGCGCGACTTCGCCGAGATTGGCGAGCGCGTCCGCGACATCGGCATGGGCTGCTGCGTCCTGCGCGTCCAGCCCGACGGCTCCGACCCGGACTTCCAGGAGTCCATGGCCCTGCCGCTCTGGAAGAGCATCCACTCGCTCAACCTCATGCTGCCCAAGGAGGACCGCTCAGCCATGCTCCTACGCGTCTTCAACGATACCTCGCCCCTCGTCAACATTACCCTCAAGAAACAGCAGGAGCAGAAGAAGCTGCAGGAGGCTGGTGCTGGTGCTGGTGCTGCTGAGGATGACGAGGATGAGTCTGCTGTTGATGCTGCTGTCGCGACTGAGGATGCTCCTGCTGAGGATGTCCCCGTCGAGGACGCCCCGGCTGACAAGGCCGAGTGAAAGAGAGTGTACGTGTTTACATGTCTTGTTAGATAGACGCTTTCGTTTTGAAAAGAATTGGCCTCTTTGTTTCTCCTTTGTCCGGTTCATTGCTGTTTTTCTTTTTCTTTTCTTTTATAACTCGGATGTCAGTAATGCATCATTATTAGGGTTTTCAACATGCAACACAGTAATCAAGACTTTGTATGTGTCTTGGTTAATATATGGTGATTTCCCCTCCTGAAGGGGTAAAAGTACAGAATTAGGTCGTGTATAGTATACAGAGGCACTCTTCTACCTCTTCCTTGTTTTATAGATCGAGAAGGCCGGCCGTCCAGTGCACAATGCGGTCGACGCCCTGGCCGTTGATAGCGCTCACGGGGATAGCGGTACAATTCTTTGTCCAAGCACCATCGACGCCGCTGGGGTGGGGGGCCTCGCCCTTTGAGATGGCGTCGAGGTAGGCCCTAAGCTTGCCAAAGTTGGCCTGCGTCTCGGGGAGATCGGCCTTGGTGGCGACGACGAACCAGGGCTTGCTGGCGATGCGTTCCGCGCCGGGCGCCAGGACGCTGTGGTTATCGTCCCCGTCGTGCTGGCGTCGGGCGCCAAGCATGTCCTGCGCCGTCAGGGTGCGACCAGAGTCTTCGGAGTCTGACGTCAGGCTCCAGTCGATGCGCTCGGCAGCCTCGCGCTCCTGCTCGTCGGCCTGGCGCATGCGAGCGTACAGGCCCACCTCACGCCACAGGGCGTCGAGGGCAGCCACAGCGTCGCCGGCCGCGAGGTCGATGACAAAGGCGAGGACACCAGCGCGCTCGACGTGGCGGAGGAAGGCGATGCCGAGGCCGCGGTCGAGGTGGGCACCTTCGATGAGACCAGGGATATCGGCGACTGTGAAGCGAGTCCGGGGCCCCGTATTGTCCGTCGAGTCGCTGTTGGCCGGTCGGGCGGCAACGGTGGGGCGGCCAGAGTACTTGTCCAGGATGACGGTGCCAATGTTGGGCTGCAGAGTGGTGAAGGCCCAGTTTCCGACGCGTGTGCGGCTGTTGGTCAGCGCCCGCAGAAGCGTGCTCTTGCCAGCATTGGGCAGTCCCACGAGGCCGACGTCGGCAATGAGCTTGAGCTCCAGCTCAATCTTCATCGTCACACCTCCACTCCCCTTGGTTGCAAACACGGGCCGGGGATGGGCGCGCGACGTGAAGTGCGGGTTTCCTAGTCCACCAACACCACCGGCGGCTAGCAGGATGGGCTGCTCCGTCGGGCGGGAGAGGTCGAGGACGATGGGTCCCGGCGGCTGGTATAGGGGCCGGGCGCGACGGGGAAGCTTGGGGAACTCGGCAGCCTTCATGTCGCCCTTAGTCATTCCTGGGTAGAGGAGCCACTTGTCCCTCCTGGGGTCTTGCACACCTTCCTCGGAACAATCTTCCTCCTCCTCTTCGATATCGCGGCTTCGTTCGGAATTCCCCGAGTACCGGATAGCCTCCTCATACTCTTCCTTCTCCTCGGGGTTCCCCTTAAGCCTCCGCCTCCTCTCCTCCTCGGCAATGCGTTCTTCTTTCCTGCGCTGCTTCTCAATGTCCTGCCAAATCTTGAGGTTTGTCTCCTCCTCTGCGACGGGGTCGTAGCGCTCCAGCTCGCGCACAACAGTGCCGACGGGAACCGTGATGATGACGTCTTCGCCCCTGGTGCCGCTCCTCGCACTGCCCTGACCGTGCTTGCCGGCGGGGGCACGCGCAAAGCGTCTTCGGGCGAGTTTATACAGGGATGTCTCTCCAGGGGCAGCCTGAATGTAAATATTTCCGCCGTTCCCACCATCGCCCCCGTTGGGAGGGCCCTCAGGCAGAAACATATCTCGCAGGAAGGAGACACAGCCATTGCCACCGCGACCTGCATATAGGGCGATCTGTGCCTTGTCGGCGAACTTGGGAGCGGCATAGTCGTCGGGTGCCGGATTCAGATGAGACTCGGGGATGCCATTGACGGCAGAGGCGCTAGTATTGGAAAGGTTCGGGGACGACGATGAAGAACGGCGCACCTGCGAGCGCGTCAAGGAGGTGGTTGTGAAGCCTGTCGTGACAGCGGCGGATGTACGCTGGGAGCTTCGAAGAACGGAGGGACTTGTGAGATGCGGGTAGAGAAAGGGGGCCAGTGTAAAGGCAACCCGTGAGCGCCTATTTGTCATGATGTGCGGCGGTCGTAGGACGATGGTTCGAATCGATGAGAGTGTTCTGGTTTCATGTCTGGTCCCCTAAATTTTCGGCATATAGTCAGTCGTCTGTAACCAATTGAAGAAAAACTGAAAAAAGAAAAATACCCGGTACCGGTAATCGTCACTGGGGCGTACCTTCCCCAGTTGCGCAACCCGCAACAAAGGGAAGGAGCCATGGATCTTTCTTTTATTTGAAATTCGTTTCAGGAAGGAGCACAACCGTAGACATGGAGGACAAACCTTTACCTCCTTCTCTTCTCTTCCATGGCCAGAGATGGAGAAGATGGTGCATCACATACAGTATTACACTCTTGTGAGTATGAACACAGCCTATACAATACGAAGGCCTCAATCGTAAGTAGACCAGTCATATATTATACGGCGTAAAATGGAACTGACCCGCTGCTGCAGTCCACAAACTGGCCAACCTGTTAGAGCTTAGAGCTGCTTTTGTTGAAACCGAGTATTCATGCTAAGGTAGCCCAAGGCGGTCCGAGATGGTACAGTGAGGTAGCCGCAGATGGGCAGCGATGCTGATGGCAACCCACACAAGCAAAGCTGCTATATGCATGTACAGTGGTGTATATACGTCCCTCGGTCGGCGCTGGTTGGTAAAATGCGGTGTGGCCTGTCCCCATCCGCCTGGCTGCCTTCAATCCGCTCACTCATCAAATCTGTCCACCAAGTAGCGGTGCGGTTATGAATGCGATAAAGAGCCACCGGCGCCAGCTCTGACAGACAGCTAGTCATATGTACGCTGTTTGCTGTTTGTTCGACGGACGACTTCTGCTAGCACCCGCAAGCAAAGGAGAGGCGATGACAGCAGAGGGAGACCGAACTCGCAGACTGAAGCTAGGATCATTCGGGACCATCGTCGCGCCTCGCCTCCAAGCTTCGAAGTAGTGCAGGCGTTGATTCTGCAATCTGCACTCTGCTCTTCATTGCCTGTCTGTGCTAAGTAGGTGATTGCCGACTCTTTTCTGCGAGTCTTGAGCCAGTCAGCTGTGGTCCATCTGTCCCACCTTGACGTGGATAAAGCAAGCAATCAATCGCAATCGCTCCTCTAGCTTGGACTCCCTCGTCAACTCCCGACTCGCCCGACACTGACGCAAATCTCGACTGGTCAGAAGCCAGGACCTGCAGACACACGCTCATCATCATCACCACACCTCCGCCGCCGCCACCACCACCTCGGTCGCGCGAAACCTCGGGGGCTCATCCATTGCTCCGTGGTCTGTCGCGAGCGCCATTGCCATTGGGTCCTGGTCAACGACCCCATTGCCCACTGTTGTTGTGCTGCATACGATTGCTGGTCCCGCATTCGAGCCACGACACCCAAGGGTCCGCTCAATCGATCCTGTCTCCACAGCGCTCGCCGCCTCTCTTCCCCCACGCTTCACACACACACACACACACACACACACACACACACACACACGCGCGCGCACGCACGCACGCACGCACAGTGACACACTTGCCCGGATAACCTCGAGTGCCCGGCTCACCTCGACATCTCTCTATCCTCGCTGGCTCGAGCCCTGACAACCTGACGACGACGTCGAGTGCGTGCGTGGGCAGGCTTGCATGATACGTGATATCCTTTCCCCCTCCTTCCGCTCCATCAGACGATATCCCGCTACCACTGTCCCCTGACTGGTACAGCGCCGGTCGTGTCGATACTTGATATCTGGTCCAACCCGAGCACACTGCAGAGCCCCTCCCAGACGGGCCATTTACTAGGTATGTGTGTCTGCGTGCTACTGGGCATCCCCTCGCCTCTCTCCGCTCTCCTCTCGCGTGCCCAATGGTGCTCAACACGGCCAATCTTCATCTTGGTCCCCCTCCCCCTCCCCCGCCTCACTTCTTGCCCCTTCTCCCTCCCACTTCATCAGGTCAACCTCGACCTCATGAACTACCGACGCCGATTCATGGCCGAGGTGGGACGTGTCCCATACTGGACGGCCTCTTTTCCCTTGTTCCTCTGGGAGAAATTGTACTATACTGCTGTTACACGGCGCCGCCCCTGATGTGTGGCCGTCGCGCATTTCCCTTACTACTTCCCCGACTCGTTCCCCGCATACCACGCGTATTCCAGCGTGCTTGAACGACGGCTAAGATGTATCCCAGAGCGTACGACCAGCCGAAACCATCCGTCATTAGGATGGACCCAGACTGTGCTATATGCCGCGCTCCGGCCCATGCGGCCTGCGAATGCGAGGCAAAGGACCTTGATATGGCCATCAGACAGGCCGAAGACCGTGTCATGAAGACCATCTACGCCGACATACGGTGAGTTCGCATCTGGACATTCAGACCTTGGTATTACCACGTGCATCATGAGGGCAGCTTCACTGACGGGGCCGCCCTTTGCATCAGGAGCTGGGTTCGAGGAAACGCACAGGATTATATCCTCGGATATTTTCGCATACTAGCATCTCGACGAAGGGACGCACATGCCGCTCATATGGAGCAGATTCACTCACAGGCCTTTTACCACTACAACGCACCACCCCACCCCCAGCAGGTTGCCGATGCCGAGGCCGGCCTGAAACGAGACATCGACGAGGCCTGGCGAGCGAGCGTCGAACGTTACCCCGATGTTCTCGAGTACTTCTTCAATCTGGTCGAGCTGAGCCTCCCTGGCCCCGAAGACCCGGCCATTACAGACCCGCCACCACTGGCAGAGCTCACGGGTCGTCGCAAATCCGGACGACGGACACCGGCACCTCCCGACAGCGGTCGCCACGGCCACGGCCACGGCCACCACGAACCTCTACCGGCCATCGGACCTCCCACCTATAGCACTGGAATGGGGATCTTACCCTCGCGCACACCTCCGCCTCCAGCAGATCGGATCGAGCGTCGACCGCGGGAGAAGCGGGCTTCACGGCATTCGGTGGCACCGCCTGCACATGCCCCGTACACGCCACACGCCGCCCAGTACGCCCCGTACATGTAGGGACAACTGGCCCCCCCTACCCGCCCTCGTCTTCTCTCTCCCACTCTCCTCCACCCTTCCTTCTGGGACTTCTCTTTCCTCCAAACACGGGAACAAAAAAGTGTAGCAGCCTTCTCTTCCTCACAGTGATCCTTCTCAACGAGCCAATGAAGAATGATATCCACGTCAGAGGCTACGGGTGGACAGGGAAACACAATTAACTAGCATCCATCATCTGGTCTAGATATCCGGCCGATGATTTTATACAATTTTCCGGGGCGTTGTATTGCATGATTTACACTATATAACGACAAATATCTATACTCATGTACGCTCGACTCTACGCTTTTTTTGTACTCTTCTGCTCTCCCTCCTCTTATTCTACTTACTCTCTTCACTCTGTCTTTCCATACTCCTTCTCTTTATTTCAATACCGCGGGAACTATCAACAGCATGGACAACATAGACCGCAGCGGTGTTTTTTCTTTTGTTGGAGAGCATCGCAATGTATAGGAAAACATAAACTAGAAAAAAAACATCCACGAAATAAGAGCGCCTTATGCGATCCGTGATGACGGATGAAGAATGCTACATCACACGTGGTAACGTCATTGATGAAACTACGCACCCAGACTGAGTCGTAATACGGTTCAGATTGTCGTGAGGCAAGTGTGCCTAACGTATGCCCAACTAACTCACTAGTGCCACCGCGGTCAATTGCACATTGAGAATAAACAGATGGCGTAAACATACAATCACGCAAGTTCAAGACGAGATGTATCCAAGACCTGTCTGTTCTGCTTCTCCGTCTTCCCCAATGATAGTCAAGCCCAATGATATTCAAGAGTACTCCAATAAAATAAAGACAGAAAATCGAAAAGAAAAAGAAAGGGAATCTATCGCAATGCTTTTTCTATTCTAGGGCGTCAACCACCTCACTCACTCATCTCTTTTCTCTCCTCCCCCCCTGTATATATGATATATACGCTTAATACAGAGCAATACTAGTAATAGTAGTAGCCGGAAACAACTTAAGGGGGAGGGGGGGGCAAAAATTCGCAGAGAACACGAACAGAGTTGCCCCCCCCCCCCAAAAAAAAAAAAAAAAAAAAAAAAAAAAAAAACATACTCTCAAATTCTTTTCCCATTTGTTCTTATTCTCTCTTTCTTTCCATATTTCCCTTTTTTACCCTTCCTACCCGATGCCGATGCATGATCNTTCTCTCCTCCCCCCCTGTATATATGATATATACGCTTAATACAGAGCAATACTAGTAATAGTAGTAGCCGGAAACAACTTAAGGGGGAGGGGGGAACAACCCCCCCCCCCGAACCCCAACAGAGTTGCCCCCCCCCCCCAAAAAAAAAAAAAAAAACAAGAAAAAAAAACACATACTCTCAAATTCTTTTCCCATTTGTTCTTATTCTCTCTTTCTTTCCATATTTCCCTTTTTTACCCTTCCTACCCGATGCCGATGCATGATCCCGATGAAAATAAGGATAAAAACACTTGGCTCCTCCTGAATCGCTCAAAGAAAAAAAAGGAACTAGACAAGAAAAGAGATGGAAGAAGACAAAAAAGAGAAAAATGATGATGGCGATGGAGATGGGAAATAAAAGAGAGATAAAAAGGTATATATAGAGGAGCCTGGAGAGATAGAGATAGAGAAGAAGCAGGCAAAAAAAATAGGTAGAGATGAGATGATTGTTGGGGGAGGTAATAGTATCTAGTATATAGTATAGATGGAAGATTGGCGAGTTTGTTGATGATGACAGGTGGAGGGAGAGAGGGGGGAGGTTGTTGGTTTGGAGCGTCCACCAAGAGCACCTTGTTTGTCAATCCTGCATGTAAAAGCAGGAAAAAAAAGAGAGAGATGATGTTGGAAGAGGTAAAGGGTGCATTTTTAAGCATCCTGCTTGTCCTCGATCGAAGTCTCCTTGAGGTCAGAGGTGACCTTGTCGACACCGTTGCCGTTGGACTCCTCCTTCTCGAGCTCCTCAATCTTCTTCTTGGCCTTCTCGATGTTCTGAAGAGGCAGATCAGTATGCGATGGTGAGTGAGGACAGAGCAAGGATGAAGAACTTACACGCTGAGTCTGGGCCTCCTGGTCACCCTTCCAGTAGTCGAGCTTGGCGCGGACCTTCTCGGTGACGGCGGGGAGGTCCTCTTGGCTCATGGGAGGGTCGATGCCCATGAAGGCGCAGTCCTCTACGACCGAAGGGGGGCAGTTGAAGGCCTTGGCGCCGCTGGAGGCACCGGCACCGGCACCGGCGCCGCCCTTCTTGCCCTTCTTGCCCTTCTTGACGGCTGGGAGGTACTCCTCCTCGCGGTCGTCCTTGCGGACGAGCTTGGTGCCCTTCAGGCCGGACTCATCGACGGTGCGCTGAGCCTGGGCAGTCAGGCCCGAGGCGGCCACGAGGGGGCCCTTCTCGACCTTGTGCTCAGGGTCGAGGAAGAGGAGGAGGCTGTTGGCGCGGCGGATCTCCTCGAGGTAGGCCGGGTCGCTGGCCTCGGCGAGGACGCGCTCGGCGTCGGCCTTCTTGCGCTCCTGGACGTACTTGTCGTGCTCGGCCTTGCGCTTCTCGCGCTGGCGTTCGCGGGCCTCGCGGTCGTAGGCCTGGTAGGCCTTCTTCTGGCTGTAGTAGTCGTCCTTGATCTTGCGGATGGCGACCCACTTCTCCTGCTGCTCGGCCTGGAGCTTGGAGCGCTCGTCGCGGAGGGCGTTGATGCCCTTGAAGGCCTCGTCCTGCTCGGCCTTGATGGCGTCGATCTCGGCCTGGATCTTGTTGTACTGTTCCGACATGGCCTTCTGCTCCGGGTCGTCCATGGTGTCCTTGATGTCCTTGATCTTGGCGCGGAGATCGTCAATCTGGCGCTGCGAGTCGTCCAACTGGCCAAAGTTCTTGCGGACCTTGCGCAGGTTGGAGATGTCCGACAGGGCCTTCTTCTCGTCGACCAGGCGCATGGTGCCCGAGTTGACCTGCTTCTCAAGCGTGGCGATCTGGCGGTCGACGTCCTCGAGAGACTTGAAGGGCACCTTGGACTTGGCGTTCTTCTGCTCGGCGAGGCGGCTGCGGACCTGCTCGTCGAGCTTCTTGATCTGCTCGAGCTTGGAGGAGCGGGCGTTCTTGCCGCCGGCCTGCTTGGTGCGGATCTCGTTGGCCTGGGCAATCAGCTCCTTGCGGCGCTTCTGCGTGGGCGTCTCCTGGTCCTTCTTGGGGGCGGCGATGTCGATCTTGGCCTTGATGGCGGCCTACACAACAAGGTGTTAGGGAGAACGTTCACAGTGCTTGACGGTCCCCCGCTCCCAAACTAATGAGGGTAGAAGGATGCTAAGAGTTGTCATACCAGACGATCCGCGGCGGCCTTGTGAGCCTTCTCGGCCTGAGCAAGCTCAATCTTGAAAGCTTCCTCGTCGGGCTTGGTGGGACGGACGGCCTGCTGAGGCTTCTCGGCCACGGGAGCCTGGGCGGTCTTGGTGTCGGCGGCCATTGTTGGAGATGCGAGGGGGGGATACCAGAAAGGAGAACCGAGAGACGACGAGCAGAGGGACGGAGAGACGAGGAGTCGAGTGCTGGGGACAAAAAAAAAGAAAGGTCCGGAGATTTGATGAATAAGGATGGATGGTTGAGGAAGGGTTGGGGAAGGAGAAGAAAAAATGGTCGTTCCTGCCAACAAACTCTTTCGTGTACTCCGACACTCACACAATGGATCTGTCCTAACACCACGAGCACAGTACAGATTGCAAGCTCAGTATATGTGGCCTATAGGCTATAGCCCACGAATTACAGGCGGGCCTAACCTGTAATTCAGAGATTGACAGGTATTGCTCTTTATTTCGTTTTATTTTTATTATTACCGTACTTCAGCTCTGAGCCTATTATTATTACTCCGTACTCAACTGCACGGTTTATTATCGAAGTCGGGCTGTCACTTATGGGGGAGGAGTGTTACTACTTGATCGCTAATACCCGTGGCCTGTGCGCTAATACACGACCCGGACACCTACCCAGAGGCTCTCGGCCTATAAGTGTTACCTACTGTATGAATCCCGGATAGGGGGCTTGGGCCCTGGAAGCTTCCATGGATGAATCAATCGGACCCGTCACCCCAATCGCACACCAACGTGCTGGAGCAGACAAGTGCGACGGACAGCGGGGATATTCTCCTCTGGCTAGAGTAAACTCCTCAAATGTCTTCCTAGTCACCATTGTCCCCGAATGGGGGAAGAATATTATATAACAAGTCACCGAAATCACGCTGTTTTTTGGCTGGCTTCCCATCCCTTAATAGATTGTCAATATAATATTCGGAATGACTCCGGTTCGACTAGTCAGTTCGGACGCATTTCTCCCGACGTTATTCCTGCCGTCGCAGAGTCACGTGGTGATATATGCTATCGGACTACCTGCTCCGTACTCGTAATCATACTAGCTGACTGATCTATTTCTACCCCCGTGAATGCTGCCAATCAACTTACCCGGGAGGTACCTAGAAGTCGTTCGCTAAACCTTGGGGTAAATCCCGAGCTCAAACTTTTTTTTTTTTCCCTAGACTTTCTGGGAAGAAAAGGCTTCGACGACGACGACCCTCATACCAACCACGCGACACAGAGTTGAGTTGTTTGACATCGCCCAGCCGCCCTACCGGATACGCGCACTCCCCCTTGCGATATATATACGAAACAGTCACGGATCCTGATCGTCGCACTCGCGTCGTCGAATTCTCCATCATGGACGAGGAGTATGCTGGCGATGATGCCAAGTCTAAGCGCGTGGTGAGACTGTGGCGAGCATGGAGGACGGTGCACGAGATGATAGCGGATCGGGTAGGCTGCCTCCCAGAGGAAATACGGACAGGAGTAGGAGGAGGAGGAGGAGGGGGAGGAGGGGGAGGAGGGACCAGACTCTCCCCCTCCGTGCTCGGGCGCGCACGCTCTAGGATTGACGTGGGACGACCGCTGACGAGAAGTAGGAATACGAGTTGGCTGAGGACGAAGTCAAGATATCCCTGGACCGCTTTCGCGAGGAGTACTGCCAGCCTGACGGATCGATCAAGTAAGTTTTTGTTTTATTTTTATTATCATTATTTTTATCATCAATAACTTCACTCTATAAACCCACCCGTCTCCATGTCAATGCCAAATCGAGAGGGAGATGGGGTGAGAGAGAATCGAGAGCTGACCGAGCGACCTCTCCGCAGCCGCGCGAAGCTCAACTTCTCGGCCCGCCCGAGCGAGTCGATGCTCGCCAAGAACACGCCCCCCGCGACGGAGGCGAACCCGAACCCGACGCCGGACTGCGGCACCGTCTGGGTCGAGTTCCTCAACGATGCCTCGTTCGGCGTGACGCAGATCCGCGCCTTTGCGCGCTACATCATTGCCAACAACTACAAGACGGGCATCATGGTGACGCATGTGGCCCTGAGTCCCGCGGCGCGCAAGTCGCTGGCCTCGATCGAGGGTCTCGCCAAGATCGAGTGCTTCCTCGAGGACGACCTGCTGGTCAACATCACCCACCACGAGCTGGTGCCCCGTCACGTCGTCCTCTCCCGCGACGAGAAGTCGGCCCTGCTCAAGCGGTACCGCCTCAAGGAGACGCAGCTGCCCCGCATCCTGCAGAAGGACCCCGTCGCCCGCTACCTCGGTCTCAAGCGCGGTCAGGTCGTCAAGATTATCCGGACCAGCGAGACGGCTGGTCGGTATGCCAGTTACAGGCTCTGTGTCTGATTCTCGGACGTGCGTGAGTCGGGATGGATATAAAAGAATGAATATAAAAGAATGAAGGGAAGAAGGAAGAAGTAGAAGATGGTTTACCGTGTTGCCTTGACCATTGGAGAGAGTCTAAGGAGATCAACAGAGTGAGAGACTCTTCTCGTGTAAGGAAGGAGGGGTGGGCTAGTATTCAGGGTTGGCGTTTTCTTTCTTCTCATGTTATTATAAAATGGCGTTTCTTTTTCTTTTTTTTTTTTTTTTTTTTTTTAGGTTTTTTTTTTTAGCAAATTTTTTTTCTTGAATCAAACATTGCTCCCATATAAGAAGTATAAGAGTAAATATACATATAGCGAAACCTCCCCCCGTCTTGGGGTGATATTCCAATGCCNGGAGAGAGTCTAAGGAGATCAACAGAGTGAGAGACTCTTCTCGTGTAAGGAAGGAGGGGTGGGCTAGTATTCAGGGTTGGCGTTTTCTTTCTTCTTTCGAATGGGAACGGCCGCGTTTTTTTTTTTTTTTTTTTTTTTTTTTTTTTTTAGGTTTTTTTTTATAGCAAATTTTGTTTCTTGAATCAAACATTGCTCCCATATAAGAAGTATAAGAGTAAATATACATATAGCGAAACCTCCCCCCGTCTTGGGGTGATATTCCAATGCCATGTTACGCCGTCACGTCACCATGGCCATATAACTGAGCAGTAGTACCAGTTTCCCTTTACGCATTCCCGCATTCATGACGCAATAAGCCGTGATATGTTGGACACGGTCCTTGACATGTATTCAGATGCATCATCATGGAGCTATCTGCTATGATGTACAATAAGAGAAAACGAAATGAAAAAAAAAAAAACCAAACCAGCCTTTGCGGGGTATATAACAGCAGCTCCTGAACTACCGAAACCATCCAAAGATCCTATTTCCTGGGCGCCAAAAGAAGAAGAGAAAAAAAAGTAAAACTAAAAAAAGTAAAACTAAAAAAAGAGAAAAGAAAAACATAGCCTCATCCAAGGGTTTTTTGTTTGTGCTCAGATCCTTCATTCATGCTCATCATGGGTAAAGAGTCGTTATAAGAGAAGAAAAATAAGAAGACAGAGACACTGCCCCAATGTTTGGGCGGTGATAGAAAGTAACAAGGGACCAGACAAGGTGGGGGGTGGGTTAGCCCCCTCTCTCTCAGTCCAGGAGACCGCCAGGGTCCTGCAGGATGGGATCAGGCTTCCCATGCATGTTATATGTCTGGTTGCGACGTCTCGGCGACGAAGACTCGGCGAGATGGGCGTCGTCGTCCGTCTTCCTCGACTGAGAGGCCGACGCGGAGGATCCCCGTCGCGGGTCGAGTAGACCGCCCAGGTCCTGCAGGAGGGCGGTTGAGCCGCGGCGGAGACCGTTGGACGCGGCCGGCAGCGACGGCGACGGCTCCGGATGCGGCTCCGGCGGCGGCGGCGCCAAGGATGACGAGGGGCTGCCCCTCTGGGCCTGGGCCGCTGCGGCGCGGCTGCTGCTGCCGGAGCCCTGCTCGAGGAGACCGCCGACGTCGAAGAAGGAGACCCTCCGGGGGAATATGTGGTTGGATTCCGTCTTGGGGGAGACCTGCTGCTCATTGTTTGCGAGGAGCAGGTCGTCGCTGCGGTCGGCGTTGCTGGTGCGGCGGCGGTGGTGGTGGTGGTGGTGGTGGTGGTGGCCATGCTGGGAGGGGTCCGCGGCCCAGGCGTCAAAGTTGCGGTTGGCGGCCGTCTGGCTCTGGAGCTCCGGGTCGATGGCGATGCCGACGTCGCGCACGAGGTCCTCGTCGCTGCCCCAGTGGTGGTGCAGGGCGGGGCGGCGGCCGTCGCTCCGGCGGTCCAGCGAGTCGGTCAGGGACGTCTGGCGAAACTTTTGCTTCTTGAGGCCCCTGTCGCGCACGAAGGATCCCAGCACGAGGGCGTTGGCGGCGGCGGTGGCGAAGATGAGCTCGACCGAGGCCAGGAGGGAGCGGTACTGCTGCCTCCCGCCCTCGTCGATGACGTGGGGAACGCGGTAGAGCGTGATGCCGACGACGGCCAGGCTCAGCGAGAAGAGCAGGGTCAGCTGGATCTTGCGCTTCACCTTCATGTGGCTCCGCAGGATGATGGGGATGGGGAAGAAGACGAGCAGCAGGTCCGTCACGATGTTGCAGGTCGCCGTGGTGATGAGCTGCGCGTAGCCCTGGCGGCACCGCGGCCCCGGGTCCGGCGTCACCTGCCAGTAGTGGTTGAAGGGTCGACACTCGGCCAGGTCGCTGATGATGACGGCCAGAAAGGTGAGCACCAGGACCCAGCGGATCATGACCAGGGTTCGGTGGTAGGATCGCTCCCACGTCAAGTCTGTCAGACGGCGGAAGAATTCGAGGATTGTGTTTTTCAGGATCCATATTCTGCGTGTTTGTGGTGTGTGTGAGAGAGATGTTTGATTTTTTTTTTTTTTGTGTGTGTGTGTGTGAGAGAGAGAGAGAGAGAGAGAAAGAGAGAGAGAGAGAGAGAAAGAGAGAGAGAGAGAGATGTAAAGAGATGTAGAGAGATAAGAGAAAGAGAGAGAAGACGTACGTAGCAGCATAGAGTATGCGACTGAGGAGGACCAGACCGCTGGCAATCTCTTTACGACGTAATGCCTCGGGCGACAGGTCGATACCGGTCAGGTCGACGTTGTTGGTGCCGTAGACGAGGATGAAGTGCACGCAGGCCATGCGCAGGAACAGGGGGATCAGGGCCAGGGCTGCGATCCTGTCCTCGGTGAAGAGACGCTCGGTGCGGACGAAGCGGCCGGCGATGCGCAGGACGATGATGCATGCGCACAGGATCGTGGCCCACCAGCACACGAGCAGGGTGGGTTTATCGTAGCGAAACTCGCGGTAGGGTGGAGGGTCCGAGTATATCGACATGATGTCTCTCGAACCTTGTGCTGTTTTAGTTTCTTTCCTTCTTTTTCTTCTTCTTCTTCTTCAATTATATATGGCAAGGTTGGTCCGCGCTCGTCGAACCCGCCTCCGCAGAGGGTGTGCGACGAGCGAGGATTTCTTTCTTGGGGTCTTTATTTCTTTTTTTTCGTCTTTGTCTTGTTGCGGCGACGAGGGCCGTTATGATGGCTGAACACGTAACGGCGCGTGCCGTCACAGTGTCATCTGGAGAGAGAGAGATGGGGAGTAGAGAGAGAAAGTAGAGAGAGGCGTGGTTTTTGGGCGTGGTTTTTGAGCGTCGTCGAGGTCGGTAGCGTCTAAAGAGGTGTTTGTACTGCAGAGAGAAGAAGAGGACAGAGAAGAAGAGGACAGAGAGAAGAGAGAGAGAGAAGAGAGAGAGAGAGAGGGAAAACGAGTTGTTGCGACCAGGTCCTGTCGAGTCTTGAGCTGAACAAGATCTCGGAAGCGTAGAAAGACAGAAGCAACACAACAGCCCCAAATTGTGCGACGTAGTACGAGGGAAGGGTTGGATCCGTACTGGCTGGCTCTGCTGCGTATTTTTTTTTCCAAAAAAAAAACAAACAAACAAACAAACAAATTGATCTTCTTGTTTGAATTCTTGTCTGTCTTATCTCGCGTGGTGGGCCAGCATCACGATCGTGGCACGGTGGGACGGACGGACTGATGCGACAGGCGGGGAGGGTAACGACGTAATGGACGTTTCGGGGTTGACGAGGCGGTGGCAAGACTCGGAGCAGGGCTTTAGAAGGAGAAGAAGAGGTCGAAGAGCGGAGGGGAGTAGGACTGTAGACTGAGGTGTGAGGTGAGAGGTGAGGGGTGAGGGGTGAGGGAATCTGAGGCGATTTCGACGGTATGCAGGGGAGAGAGTATCACTACGGAGAAATCAGGACGGATGGAGAGTCAGAGGCAAGATGGAGAGAGTGAAGGTGGTGGGATCTTGGTCATACTAGTATGGACCGGATGGAGAGTATTAAACCATTTTAGCCTTGCGGTTGGCTATAGGCCTATCAGTAGTGAGCGTATCAGTGTAATCTGTACTTTTTCTCTTCTTCTCCTCTCTTCCTCTTCTCCTCTCTTCCTCCCCCCCCCCCTCCTCTTTCTTTCTCTTCTTCTCCTGTTCTCTTTCTTTTTCGTTTTCCAACTATTTCTTTTTTTTTCCCCCCCTATTCGCCTTGTAATTTTTTTTAAAAAAAAATCCAGTACAATTTACGATATTGGAGACATGGTGACGAGTAAGAGGTAGCAAGTAAGCGGTTAGAGCCTAGATAACAAGGATAGGCTACTTGTACAAGGTAGATTAATCATAGGATACAGAGAGAGGGGGAGAGAAAGAGAGAGACAGAGAGAGCGAGAGAGAGAGAGGGACTGGGCAGAGAGAGGGATCGGTTCGGTTCCTGGTGGGCCTATCTCTCCTACAAGCTACAGCTATTACTAGTAATAGCAATAAGTACTTCCATATCCGTAGTCCCGGGCGAGACTATCATCAATGGTATGTAATAGCGTCTAATAAAAATACTCAGGGAGGTGGGGGGGGGGGGGGGGATATGATATTTAGTTGTTCCAACAATCTGGTAAGACTGCATGTACATGTGCTGATACTAGGCGTCCATCAGCAGACAGTAATGGATAGTAATGATGATGCTACGCTCTACGAGTACGGAGTATATATATATATATATACATATATATGTATGTGTGTGTGTGTGTGTGTGTGTGTGTGTACATGTGTATATGTATATATATGTATATACGTATATATATATACGTGATACGGGACAGATAGGACTCGTATCACTCCGTACCTCGCTGCAAGGATACGACTTGCGAGTTACTCGATACGGCTTCACGGCCAACTCTGCACTGCGAGATACAGGATACTGGCAGCTGCCGCTTATCAATTGACGATGCTCCTGGTATCAGTAAGCAATGCTGTACGGGTTAATTGCAATAGACCAAGTCTCCGCCCCTTAGTGCCCCCAATCCCACGGCGTGGGATGACGACTAGTACGATTATCGCAATACGAGTGCAAGCCGCCCACGGTAGAAAAAGATACATGAAGAGATTTTTTTAATGAAATTAAATACATCAGTAGATAAAATGAAAACAAAAAAAAAACAAGGTATAAGAGAAAAACCAGCCTGCCGCTAGGCTCAGCCGGTACAGAGAGCCCCGGACAGCCTCGATGGATCGATCGGTCGGTCGGTTGGTCGGTCAGGTGTAGGCTTGGCCGTGGGACCGAGTTGAGCCCGTCATACGGAGTAGTGATAAGATGATACGTTGATACTTGCGGGTTCCATGCTCGATGCTCGTATTTTGTGCCTGTACGGGATAAATCGCAATACCGCTAATACTCCGGATCATGTACGTTACGAATACTGCAGTATTAGGTGGTGTTCATATTTACTACTCGTACTCGTCCTCTGCTTTTTTTCTTTTTTTTTTTCTTTTTTCCTTTTCTTTCTTTTCTTTTCTTTCTTTTCTTTCTTTTCTTTTCTTTTCCCTTTTCTTCTTCTTCTTTTTTTTCCTTTTTCCTTTTCTTTTTTTCTCTCTCTTTCTTTTTCTCCTTTTCCCCTTGGGGCCGGGGGGCGCGCGACTAAATTCATTACATCCTAATCAGGTTGATCCGAATCAGGTTGACTCTCAAGCAAGGGGAATCGATCCCACGTGCAGGGAACTATTAATGCTTATTATACTATTATCATACTATGATTATAGGGCATAATATTATGCATCGTCATCAACCCATGCTCTCTCTTCCTCTTCTCCCTCTCACTCCCACCCTCCCTCCCTCTTCCCATCCCCTTTCTCTCTTTCCCGCAACGAACCTCGCTACGATGACCCCACCCTCTCCTCTCCGAAGGCTTACTCGCGTCGTCGTCGTCGTCGTCGTCGCCGCCGCCGCCACAAGACAAGTCTCACCGCCAACACGGAAGACCGAATGCGGTGCGGTGCGTAGGAGTTAATATAGCCTAATGGGGGAAGGGAAAAAAAGAAAAGAAAGACGGCGCCGACCTGCGCCTTTTTGTCTCGGGTGGCTACTGAACCGGCCATGGTCCCATCGGTCACGGTTCCCTGAAAGAGGCATCCCTCCTCCTCTACCTCTCTTTATTCCCCGCACTGTCATCTCTCGATATATTGAGGGAATAAGTATCGATACTATTCCTGATTCGACACGTGCGTCCCAAGTGAGGGAGAGAATTTGACGGCTAAGAAAAACTTGCCCGCGTGCTCCGACATGATGTATCACTGCGAGCATATCGACTAGAGTATCAATCCGTACACGCTGCCATCAACAGGACTATATCAGTCCGAAAGGAGGAGGGGGGCGGGAAGGTGACGAAAAGCGACGATCCATGGTCAAGGCTTCTGGCGCTCAGACATGGTTGCTGGGCCTCTGTCACGTGTCCCATACCCTCACGTGCCCCATCATGTGGGTGGCCAATCCGACACACACACGCGCACACACACACGCGCACACACATATAATCTGTAGTGATAGATTCAATCATCCATCACGTCTACAGCAACACACATCGACGCGACGATTCCCGGGTCGGAGAAGGACGAGAAGGGATCGGAAAGCCTACGTCTGAAAGCTTACGTCTGACGATGCAGAGACATCTATCATATCGTACATGTATCAGCCATCATCTCCGTCATCTCCATCGTACCCATCGTACCCTTCGTACCCTTCGTACCCTTCGTACCCTTCGTACCCTTCGTACCCTTCGTACCCATCCATCGCTTCGCCTTGCTTTTGAGCCGTCGCTGCAACCTGCACCGTACCGCCTATACTATACACTACCATTTGCCGTGTACAGGATCAATATTTACGTGGATAATAATATACAGATTAATACATGTATGTGCATATACTCGTCAATCGTCAGCAGCCGCGCGCTCACACGCACGGGAGAGCCGCCGCCGCCCTTTTTTTCTTTTCTTTCTTTCCTTTTTTTCTTGTTTCCTTTCTTTTCTTTCTTTCCTTCTCTCTCTCTCTCTCTCTCTCTCTCTCTCGTTCAGAGCTACGGCACGGTCGGACCCGAGTCTCTGTAACTCATCGATATCCATATACATGTGATCTGTACATCGTATCAGTACCCAGGCAACACCAACACCAGGTGTTTGCTCAGGAACTTTCATCAAACGCGCAACACACAGCACACACACACACACACACTCTCGGTCGAGTACAAGGTCTTATGGGTTTGGCCCCCCTCCCCCCACGGTTTTCCGATAAGGAAACCAGCCATTTATTTTATTTTATTTTTCAGCCATACACAGCATTGGTTTTTCTACCAGTGGTCCGATCATGAGTTTTTCTTCTCTTTTACTTTTTTGTTTGTTTTTAAAAAAACATTTATTTTCTATCTCTCTCTGTTCTCTCTCTCTCTCTCTCTCCAGACACCCCGCGGCTTGGTGTCGAGCATCCTCATCCCCTAAGCCTGCGGGAAATACCCCGTATCGTGACATGTTATACATTACAGTGCATCTTGAACTTGTCAATGCATCCCTCTCGCTTTCTCTACCAATCGTCAATCTCTGCTGCCTATTTCCCTCCCTCTCTTTCTCTCCTCTGCCCCGTATTACGTCGCAACGACTCTTGGCTGGCCCTGCATCCCTCCTCCCCCTCCCCACACACACCCCTTTCACGTGTGTATGCGACGGCCCTTTGGTTATTCGCCCCTTGCTTCGGATGTCCTGATAGCGCGTATACATGCATAATGGTCGTTTCTTTCCTCTACTCTCTACCGCGACTCCAGAGACTCATCAACCTCGTACATGTCGATTGCCACGGGATAATAATTTTACCTCGTGTGTACGATACATGTTTTACGATACATGTACGGATACGTCTATTACATGTAGTTATCCGCCCATCCATGCCACCCCCYCYMCCCCCCCCCCCCCCCCCCGGGGATGATCTCCCATGAAAGAAAAAAAGTCGTCATATTAGTTTTCATGGATGAACCCTGTCTCTTTTACCTTGCCGAGGTTATTGACTTGTAGATATCTCTGATACACATCCCCCCCCCCCTCTCTTTTTCCTCTGTCCTTCCTCATTCATTCCAGTCGAGTTGATAAGTTGCGAGTAGAAGCAAGGCAGAGAAGAGAGAAGAGAAGAAAGAAGAGAAGAAAGAAGAAAAGTCACTGTGTATTACCTGTGTGCGTGTGCGCGTCGACGACCAAATGTCACCAGGTAAAAAAGGCCTGTTCCAGTAATGCCGAGATGCCATGTGTCTGATCTTTGGGCAAATCGACAAAGCAAGGACACTACGACACTACGAGTAGATATCGACCTCACCTCTCAAACATAGATACGTCAAATAATCGCATCATCTTAGCTTTCCAGAGAACTCTTTCTTCTTCTTCTTCTCTTCTCTTTCGTTTTCCCCCGTCCTCCTTTCAGGTGATTCCCGATCCCGATCGATGATCCATCCATCTCCGACACGTCTCTCTATTCGAGCTGCAACTGCTGCACAGCGCTCCGTATCTGGCTCTTGTCAGCCATGGCCCAGTCCACGCCCATCAGGACTTGGCTCCTGTCATCGCCCGCCGCGGCCGACTCCAGAGCCCAGAGCTGGTCTACAACCGACACCCGAACCTTGGGCCAGGGGTGGGACAGTAGAGCTCCCAACCTCTTGCGGGCCTCTCGGATGCCGGCCGCCGTCGGGTCTAGCTTGTCGGTCGCCTCAGTCGCCGCAGCCGCGGCAGCGATCCCCCCGTACACCTTGATGCACGCGTCGATCTTGCGCATGTTGCCCGTCTTGTACCCCGCCTTTTGCGTCTGGAGACACAGGCTGCGCAGGCTGACGGCCTCGCCGTCGCATTGCTGGAACAGGCCCGCGTGGAACAGAAAGGCGATCACCTCGAGCGTGGGCACGACCACCCTGTCCTGGCCCTGGCGTGTCTTGACATTGCCCAGAAGGGCTCTGCACACCAGTTCCAGGTTGGCCTTGGTCTCGCCGTCGTCGCAGAAGTCCGCCAGGGCTGCCCTGCTCGCTACCACCAGGTCCTCGTTACCCGTGTCCGCCGACGTCACCAGCCCGCTGAGCAGGCTGGCCATCCACCCATCCGTGTCTGTCGACGCAAGCTCCGCCACCGAGCTCTCCAGCTCTCCCCCGTCGCCCGAGTGCACCAGATCCAGAAGGGCCCGGAAGTAGGCCTTGGAAGAGAAGCTCGTCGATCTGAATGCGGTCGTGTGTCTGCCGGCACGGATTAGCACAGGGCCTTCTACCACCACCACCGCCGCCGCTACCCCGGCAAGAGGGCAGAGAACGCTGCTGCCAACTTACTCCTTGTCGAGGACGAGCGACACGGCAATCTGTGCCTCTGGCCGTATCCTATCCAGTTTCTCCGCCGACAGCCGCAGCGTACTGTAGAATAGCGCCCTGACTGATTCGCCCACCCACTCTCCCTTGCTGCGCATGTCGTCGCCCCATAGCGTCGCTACCGCCTTCAGAGCTTGCACCCTGACGTGGGAGCCCACGTCGCCTCTCGCCGTAGTCGTGTAGTCGTTTAGTCCGTCCGAGAGCACGCCGAGGAAGACCAGCGGCTTGTCCCGTAGCAGGCGGCTGCGCGTGAGGGCCTGCAGGATGGCCACGCGCGTGTCCACCTCATCGTCGACGGCCCACCGGCGGTTGAGCGCGCGACACGCGACGTCATCCTCACCGACGCCGCCGGTACCTACCAGCGGCTGCGCCATAGCCAATGTGTAGACATAGCCGTCGCCTGCTGTGCCCTTGCGGCTCGTGGGCTTGGTCTCGACCGTCGCGGCCCATCCTGCCAGGATTGACGACCGCTCCGGTTCCGCGGAGAAGAGGACTAAGATCAGGGCGGCGGCGGATGCTGCCTCGATGGCGTCGGCCTCGCTGCGGGAGAGCCATCGGGGTATGACCTCGTGCAGGGCAGACAGGAACTCGTCAATCTCGGGCTTCCTCTGCCCGGCATCGAGGACGGAGACCAGGGGCAGGTATCCTTGGGTCCTTCCCGACGTCGACGGCAGAAGGTGCGCCAGCGTCTGTAGCGGGTCTGTAGAGCTGTGCCCGACAACTTCTTGCTGGAGGATAGGAAGCATGGATGCAACAAGCCTGCTCGCCGCTTCGACTACCAGCTCTGGACGTCGATATGTCGTCGTCTTGCAGTCTCTGAGAATAGCAGTCGCCGTGCCGATGATGCCTCTCGTCATCTCCCTACTCCCTCCAGCGGCCCCTGACTGCTGCGTCAGGGACGGGTATTGGTCCAGAATGGCGGCGAAGCACAGCAGAAGTCCGTGCCGTTCTTCAACCTGGCGCTTCTGAAGACCGTCGATCTCCCCGGCCACCAGATGGACAGACGACCGGAACCTAGGCAGCACCCCCTGAACGTCCGAAGCCGCCAGCTGAGCCGTCAGACGGCCGAAAGCGGTTGCGGCGTCTCGTCTTGAGGCTGCATCTGCGTCCCCGATGCCCCTCCATCCGAGGACGCCGTCGATCATGGCTTCCCCATACTGACTCGACAGCTTGGCAGAGCCGAGTGCCACCTCCTCCATGGCGCGGGACCTCCGCGCGACAGCGTGGTAGTCTACAGTCTGGACGACCCAGATACCCTTGTCGACCGTGTCTGGGTGGCGGCCGATAAGCTCCTGAAGCGCGGCTGAGGCACCGCGGCGGATGTTGCCCGCCGAGTCGAGCGACGCCGTCGTGGTCAGCTCGGTCGCAAGGACTTGGAGGATGGAGCTCGCGGCGGGGTGTGCCTTGGCCGCGTACACCGAGTGCGTGGGCACGGCGAGCAGCTCAGCGGTCGTGTAGCGGCGGGCAAGGGCCCAGATGCCGAAGCAAGCGGCATCGCGCACGTTGGACCCTACGCTGGCGCCCGTGACGCCGCGTTTCTCGAATGACAGGCCGAGGAGAAGGGCGTGGATGATGTCGGACAGCTGGTCGGCCGGGGGAGAGCGGCGGTATAGGAGGTGAGACAGGGTGAGGATCAGGCCGTGCCACTCGGTCGGGTCGACGGTTGCGAGGTCGCGTATCGGCTTGGAGTCGGCCGAGGTCTTCTTCCAGATGACGTTACGGTTCAGCGACTCCAGCACCGCCTCGACGACCTGAGACGCCATCTCCGGGTCGAGCTTGAGAGTGATGATGCTGAGCGACTTGCTCGCCGCGAGGCGCACGGGCGTGTCCGTGTCCGACAAGCTCTCGAGGAGATAGCCGATTGCCGTCTCGGTTATGTCGGTGCCATCGTCGTCCCTGAGGAGCGACACAGTGACGAAGCGAATCACCTTGAGGATCATCTTGCGCGTGAGGGCAAACGACATGATCGACCTGACCGCCTCGTCTTCGCCTTCCTGGCCTCTGACGGCAATGCCGTGCACTGTGTCGAATATGGGCCGCAGAAATTCGTTCGCGTCGGACGTGTCTGACGACGAGCGAAGGATACCAGCCAGGAACGACAGAACACCGAGGTAGTGGTACGCGTCCTCCGGAGCGGCGTTTGGCTTGGGACGCAGCGCTGCGAGTGACCACTGTATGAGGCTGGATAGCACGCCGGCCTGCTGCATGTCGCGCCGCATGGCGATGCGAACGAGGAGCGCCTTGGCGCCATCGCGCTCCTTCCCGGGCGACGCAATGTACTTGATGGCGAGCGGGACAGCCCTCAGCGTTATGCTGGGAAGGTTGTCCTGGAGCTTCAGCCCGGGCACGGCAGGGGCAGCAGCCTGGTCGAGGTCCACGGATGAGATGGTGGACAGGTCGAAGGGGGCCAGCATGAGGTGCGACAGCCACAGGAGAACGACGTAGCGCTGCTCCCACGACCAAGGCGACACCGAACCGGTGCCTATGCTCCCCTCCTCTGCCTCCTCAATGGCCCTCAGCAGGACCTCGAGGTACTTGGCTTCCACGTTGAGGAAGTGCACAATGACCTTCTCGCCGCGGATCTTGCAAAAGGTGTAGAGCATCTTGCAGATGGCATGCTCGACGGACACGAGGTGCTTGGAGCTGATTGACGATGCCTGCCCATCACCCTGGACACCGTATTGCTGCTGTCGCTGCTGTCGCCTGTCTCGGTGCCGGGCGAGTGTGTGGTCTAGGAATGCGTTTGACAGGAAGGGGATCCATCTGGTTAGGTGGGCATCCAGTAGCTGCGGTAGCTCCTGGAAGGGGTCAAGACACTGGGGTAACGTTAGAGATGGCTTTGTATTCTCTTCCTTTTCCCTTTTACTTCCTCTCTTTTCCTCTCTTTCTCCTTTCTCTTCTTTTTCCTTCCTTCCTTTCTTTCTTCCTTAACTGTTCAAGATAACCGGATGAATGAGAGCTTACAGTCCCGGTAGCCCAGTCTAGGTCGCGGGAGCGGACGCGAGAATAGACTCGTGATCCGCCATTGCCGTCGGCCTTGCGTAGAAAGGTTGGAAGGAAGCGGTCAAAGTCGGCAATGAGGTCGGCCGAGATCTTTTGGAGTTTGATGTCGAACTCCTCTGGGGCATCCATTGCGTCTCTTCAATTCCTCTCTCCCACTCTCTGCTTTCCTCCCTGGCGACACAGCGTGGAGATGATGTCGTCTCCCGCCGTTACCCCTCGATGGGCGAGAAGGAGAGGTGAGGAGGTGAGAGCTCTAGGCAGACGTTGGTGACGTGATTACCGCGCAGGTCCCCTACAGTGCATCTCACTCACGGCTTATATCTTCTGGTCCTTCTCACGTTAAGGTCTGGAACCGAACAGCTGTGCAGATATCCCGTCGGTGTCGTGGTGAATGGTGATGCGCTCATTCCAGCCGTGAGGGTCCAAGGTGGGATGTCTACGTAGCGCCGTGATATCCTAGTAGCACAGTGCGTATTCACAGTGCCGATGATCACTCCAAAACAGTGCACCATCTCAGACCAGCGAAGCAGACCAGCAAAGCAGACCAGCAAAGTACTGTAATTCCAGCCATGAAAAGAGATCATGGAACTATGTATGTCTAAAAGTATAAAAGTCATCTTTGTTCTTTTTTTCTTTGAACGAAAGTAGAGAAGAGTAGAAAAGAAGTCGACCAATCAATGGATATGTCAAAAAATTCTTGTGCGTTTCAACGCCAAGGGACCCAAATCCTTATATACACAATCCCGACGTCTATTGTCACCAAAAAAAAAAAACGTTGAAAAGAAGAGAGATAGCACCAAACCTGTGTCCTATTTCAAAAAGAAAAGAGTAATCGACCCCAACTCCGAGCCATGAGAATTAGAAAACCTGGTATAATTTTGCGGGTGGTTTTTTTTTCCCCGTCCCATTTCCGAACAGCTGTCCTCGTCTTTTCTTCTCAATCTTTAGACAATCGCAATGGCAGCAACAATGGCATCAAGGGCAGAGCTCTGGGTCTGGGCCGTAGCGCCATTGAAGGGACCGTCCCAGGCGGCGCCAAACTTCTTGAGGCTCCGGTCGTGGTCCCAGATGGAGTCGGCGCTGCGGATGATGCTGGCGCGAAAGTCCATGTCGGGGGCGACGTCGGCCAGGTAGCGGAGGTTGCGCACAAAGATGCCCTTGAACTGCTGGCCGTCTGTGCCGCAGTGGCCGACCTTGGTCTCGCACCTGTCCGTCTCGACGATGACGCCGCCCTTTCCGGTGGTGAGGTGGTCGAGGGCGGCGGTGGCGATGCGCTTCGCTGTTGCGAGCAGGTCGGCGTTGCCGGTAGCGCGGTACAGCTCGGCCAGGCCGCCGAGGATGACGCCCTGGTTGTAGGACCAGGTCTGCAGGCCGTTGTTGCGGCACTTGTCGTCGAGGCCGTCGTTGATGAGGTTCTGCTCGTTGATGAGCCCGCTGCCCTGGAACCAGACCCACTGCTTGCGGGCGGCGGCAAGGAAGCGCGTCTGCTGCGGGCGGCGGTTGGCCAGCGACGCGGCGATGGACAGGTACAGCTCGTTGGTGATGGCGTTCTTGTAGTTGCGGTCCTTGGACCAGTAGATGCCTCCGTTGCACGGCCCGCCGTGGCCCCCCGCCATGTCGTCGAATATGGTGACGGCCGCGTCGAGGTAGGCGTTGTTCTCGGTCAGATCGTACGAGCGGATCAGGGCCAGCGCCCACCACCCTTCGTCGTCGTAGAAGTCGTTGAGGAAGTTGGCGAATAACCGCTTGTCGAGACCCTGCGTCTCGTCCTCTGCCCGCTCTCCTCCCGACCCTTGCTGCTCTTCCCTCTCGACGATGCCGCGGTCGGGGCCCGAGGTCGTCCTGGCTCGGACCTTCAGCTGCGTCTGCTGCGCCTTCACGAACGTGTTGCTGATGAGCTGGGTGATGTTGAGGTCGGCGGCCAGGTTAGGCCTCAGGATGGCAAACTCGACGACCGTCGTCAGCGCGTTTGCGCTGTTCCACCACGTTCCCGCCCAGAGTCCAGAATCCTGCTGGTACCAGTTGTCGTTGAGGGCCGTGATACCAGTCACGGCCTGGTTGGTGTAGTTCTGCACGGCCTCCTGCTGCGTCATGCCGGTGAGGATGACGTCGATCATGTTGCTCTGATCCTTCTGTTTTGCCAGGGTAGCCAGCAGAGATGTGAGGGGCATTGCCCATTTTGCGAATGCCGGCATTGTCGCTCTCGGTTGAAAGGTGTGCTGTGTCGGATACTACTCGGTAGTATTATAGTTGAATAGAGAAATAGAAGCGAAGGGGAGAGGAAGAGAGAGAGTAGAAGGGGAAAGAATGTGTGGTATGAATAATGACCGGATGTATCTGCATATCTCTGTATTTTGATATCCTTTTTTTTATCAAAAAATAAACAGATAGAAAAAAAGGATTATGATACAAAACAGTATATACAGACACTAGAAAAAAGAACGAAAGAGGGAAGGGAAAAAAAAACGAGTGAAGGTGAGGGTTGGCGGGATGAAGAAAGAGGCAAGCCAACCTTCCAAATGCTATCTTCAACGGCTGCACATCACGGCCCAGCACGGCGGCTCCCTCGCTTTTAGTACTCCGTACATCGACGAGTCTGTGAATGAGGAACCCACATTTTCCACAAAAATAACAGAGAGGGGAGAGGGGGCGCGGTAAGGTCGTGTCACTACTCTGCTTTGCTGAGCCCTGTTAAGTCTATGCCCATCAATGGAGGGGTCCTGTTTCTACTATTCTGATACACACGACAACAGGGGGGGGGGGGGGGGGGGGGGGGGGGGGGGGGGGGGAGGGAGGAGAAGGGCCTCTACCTGTAAAGAGATGGAACGAGGGTGGCATGGCTCTCTTCTACGAGTCCAAGTACGAGTGCTAGCAGCCAGACAAGCCTGAGTGACCTCTGCTCGTAGACGTAGCTGTACGCGCATACGGAGTACTACGGAGTGCCACGGAGTATTACGGAGTAGATGTGGTATTAAGGGTGAGCGGCTAAGATGATACCTTCCCACTCCAGCTCTTGGGTTTGTCTGATCTTGTCTTGGCTTCTTCTTGGCTTCTTTCCCTTCCTCCTACCTGCTGGCCACTGCTTGCTTCCTTCTTCTCGATCTACTGGCTTACAGGCTACAGAGTACAAGTGCCGATTCTCTGTTTACCTGTACCTGGTGGGTAGGAGTGGAGACATGGACAGGGAGGAGGGACGTCGCCGGG